GCTCAGATGCGTAGACAGACATGAAGCAGACATGTTGATGCAAGAAGTACACGAAGGATCCTTTGGCACTCATGCCAATGGACATGCAATGGCTAAAAATATGTTGAGGGCTGGTTACTATTGGATGACGATGGAATCTGATTGCTGCAAATATGTGAAGAAGTGTCATAAATGCAAAATTTATGCGGACAAGATACATGTGCCACCGACCCTCCTCAATGTTATCTCTTCAGCTTGGCCTTTCTCTATGTGGGGCATTGATATGATTGGAATGATTGAACAAAAAGCTTTAAATGGTCATTGTTTCATCTTGGTGGCCATCGACTACTTTAGTAAATGGGTGGAAGCAGCATCATATGCTAATGTAACCAGACAGGTGGTATTCAGATTTATCAAGAATCATATCATTTTTTGATACGGCATCCTAGGCAAGATCATCACTGATAATGGTTTGAATTTGAATAACAAAATAATGAGAGAGATTTGTGAAGAGTTTAAGATCGAACATCATAATTCTTCTCCCTACTGGCCAAAGATGAACGGGGTTGTTGAAGCTGCTAATAAGAACATCAAAAAGATTATCCAGAAGATGGTGGTAACTTATAAAGATTGGCATGAAATGCTTCTATTTGCTCTACATGGGTACCGTAGTTTAATTCGAACTTCAACAGGCGCAACCCCATTTTCCCTAGTATATGTCATGGAAGTGGTACTCCCCGTGGAGGTTGAGATCCCGTCTATGAGAGTCTTGATGGAAGCTAACCTTTTTGAGGCTAAATGGTGTCAAAGTAGATATGATCAGTTGAATTTAATTGAAGAAAAGAGAATGACAGCCTTGTGTCACGGTCAACTATATCAGCAAAGAATGAAGAAGGCATTTGATAAGAAGGCTCGACCACGCGAATTCAGAGAAGGTGACCTCGTACTCAAGAAGATATTGTCTTTCCAACCTGATTCTAGGGGAAAATGGGCTCCGAATTATGAAGGACCGTATGTTGTTAAGAAGGTTTTCTCTGGAGGCGCCATGATTCTCACAAATATGGATGGTGAAGAACTCCTGCGCTCCGTGAATGCTGATGCAGTCAAGAAGTATTTCGCCTAAGTTTGAGTTGACAGTTTGCTAAGTTGAAAACCCGAAATGGCGGCTTAGGTAGGCTTTTGGTCAAACCAGTTATGGCAATGTAAATACATCTTGGAATTCAAAGTTATTAAGGAAAATAGTGGTAATTATTTTTATAACCTTTTCTTTCATGTGCTATTTTCCAAATTTTTGTAAACCTTTGGAGTCGCGCCAATAGCGGACTACCATCTTATTAATGAAATTTGAGCATTTATCTTTTTGTAGGAAAATTTTTAGCTTTTATGGTAATATTGGAAACAAAGTTAATCAAAATAATTCCTATTTTGTAATGTGTCATGAATACTGGAAGGAATATTAACAGTTGCTCCGAGGATGGTTAAGCCATGAAATGCAGAACAATACAGTAATTCATCCTTGCATGATGAACATGTTTTCTTTCAAAATTGTCATGAGGTGTTGGTTGTGTAATATTATGTTTCTAGTAGAGTACTAAATTTGGTGACTCCCCAGTAATCCCGGTTAAGCCTTGATTCAGTTATCTCTAATTGAGAAAATTTCCAAAGTGTAGTACATTTTGTTGTCATGTCAGTAGTTTATTGATGATTAGAAGATTGGATTTGAATACCTTTCTCCCCAGAAAGACTAGAGCCTTGTAGTATGATACGCTCTGACGTTGCCTTTTGTTCCAGTTCCAGTTATTTTCCGTCTCTTTGAGATTGGCCGAGTAACTAATTATTTTGTGATATCTTATCATCTTTAATTTATTTCCTTTATCTATTTCGTCAGCATACACATGCCATTCATTTACTCATTTACACTTATATCATGCATGCACATTCACATTTGTCGGTGATGTTGGGTTCATATGCCTTGTTTATGTCTATTCACGCAGCATATCCTCTCTTTCCAAATAGAATGTCAACTTAGGCAGAAAGTGTGCCTCCCTTTCTAATTCCTCAACTGAGCTAATCCTCGTGGATGAATTTTTGATTTAGCCTTCCTTGTCCATCTCTGGATAGGATGAATCCCCAATTGGGTTATTTCCTCATTGGATGGAGTCTTGTTTGACTGTCTTCTCTCTGGTTTATTCCTGGATTAAGTTTTGTCTCTTGCATAGGCTACCTCGTGGTTTTCCCCAGGCTGGGCAACCTAGATGAATGGCGCATTTATTTTGTGCATTTAAGTATTTGATCTCCTCAGGAAGGATCTATTCAAGGTTCCCTTTGAAGAAGAATTTTATTCCCTGGTAGTGTTATCACAACATTCTTCTGAAACATCTTTGGAAAATGAAAAGCGACGGTCTCTTCATGAGCAACTTGTGCGTTATTTACATCTTTGGAAAACGACAAGCGGCGGTCTCTTCATGAGCAACTTGTACGTTATTTACATCTTTGGGAAACAAAAAGTGGTGGTCTCTTCATGAGCAACTTGTACGTTATTTACATCTTTGGAAAACGACAAGCGGTTGTCTCTTTATTTGAGCAACTTGGGCGTTATAGTTTTCTTGGAAAATAGCAAGCGGCGGTCTCTTCATGAGCAGTTTGTACGTTACATATATCTTTGGAAGACAGCAAGTGGCGGCCTCTTCATGAGCAACTTGTATGTTATAGATATCCTTTGAAGACAGCAAGTAGCGGCCTCTTTATTTGAGCAACTTGTGCATTTATTGGTATCCTTTGAAGACAACAAGTGGCGGCCTCTTTATTTGATCAGCTTGTGTATCTACAACTATATGTTATTTCAGCATCAAATGGTATCTCTCCGAAAAAGTCCCATAGAGAAGTTTGTTATGAAATCTCTACCTTCAGAAGTCGGTAGTTCACTATCAGCAAAAGTTGATACATCTTTTGTCTATCTTTGACCTTGAGTTGTGAACTCACCATCATCTTGGGTCAATAATCATCTTTTTTTCGTGGCCTATGCAAGGTGTCTTCTTTGTTAGGGTCAGAATTTGTTTTTTCTCAAATTTATTCCCCGTTAAGAGTCTATCATTCGAAGTCGATGGCTCATTTCCCCAGTAGTGTATAATCTCTGTTCCTGTGGGTTATTTGTGCTTGGTTTCTCCAGCTTTATTTTGTCTCATACAATATCATTCTCCATAAAGTTTAAATACTACATTCATATCATAAACATAATGGCGGCATCTTAGGGCAAAAATTGCGTATTCTATATTTAAGTACCTTCAATCGCATCGAGACGAAGATTTTAACCTTCATATCTCCGGATAGAAGAAACTTAAATAGGGGCAGCTGTCACACCCCAATTTTTGACCTAAGATCCCTGCTTCATTTGCATTGTTTTACATATACATCAAGGTCACAGAATATGGTAGGTTTCGAACGTCTCGCCTTCGAGCTTTGACTGTGTAGAGATTAACAAGTGTTTTGAGCATTTTATCTTATGAATGACTAACCACTAATCAAGCACGAAGTGTATGTTTTGTTTTTTGATTTCATGTGCAAGAAATAGGTCTGAAAGAAAAAGAATTGGAGGTCGCACATCAATTAGGGTTTCGAGTCTCGAGACAGAAATGCAATCGATCGTTGATTCTCAAAGGCTGGTTCATCAAAGAATTTCAGATAATCGTGTGTTTATTTCCATACTCTGTCCAACAGATGGTCTCAAGCGTCTCTGAAATTTTTCAGAAAGAATAGTCGAAATTCTACTTCCATTGGTTCATGTGTGTTTCACATTGCTTAAAAATACAAGAAAACCAAGCTATGCCAGTCATTTCCGATCACTTCGAACAAAAGTTATCTGCAAGTTTTTCTCATGACGCGGGGTGAATTTTGTCAAAATGGGATGATTAAATTCAAAACCGTTCTAGAAGAATTTATTCGGAATACTTGGAATTTTCTTTATTTGAATTCAAGCGATAATTAAAGAGGAGCTACCAAGAGATCTCATTTAAGAATAATCATTTATCGCATGAAATATTTATTCAAGATTATTTTGTGTGATTATTTTTTGGTGGATTTACATTATGGTTATTTGAACACACATGAAGCATTTACTAAGGAGATATTAGAAAAAGAAATTCGATTTAAATAATCGTTCATCACAAGATTAATTACATGAGGGTTGCTATTTGATTACAAAATCAATTCATGTGATTTATTTGGATCCCTATTACAAAATGCAAGATTAAAGTCTAAGGCTTGCATTATCATTTATTCATCATTCAACAATTTATTCAAGTATTATTCAATTCTTTCCCAATTCAAATGGAAGACCTTGAATTTTTATCAAGACATATCAAGATTCAATTTCAAATGATGACTCAAAGTTATTTACAATTACAAGGGAATTGAGAATATATTGAAGAATACATATCCATCCATGTTACAATTTAATTAGATTTATTGTTACAAAGTTACAAAAGAAACTCAAATTTTGTACATGAAAATCAAGCTACTATTCTTGCTGCAAAACAGCCCCAATGCTGCCCATTTTTTCCAGCACTATTTTAATCCAATAACAGTCCAATTCTTGAGTATAATGCTGTCCATTTTCTCCAACCTTGTTTCAACAAAAACCATGCCAAGTTGCTTTCCTAATCTTCCATGCAACACAGTCCAAAATGCAGCCCATAAGAAACTAGACACCATTCCCTCTAACCACCAGACACTTAACCTATACATTTCCATCAGCCTCCACCTTGATGATCTAGAATACCCTGTAAGAATAACTTATCTGGTTGCCAAAAATGAAAATGAAAATGCAATTATACACTGAAAATCATGAGGTTGGATTTGAATTGAATTGAATCACCACCACCTTGAAATTGTCGTGTCCTTGTGCAAAACCTCATTATACTCATGACAAGCAAAGCTTTACAAAATATAACAACTTTAACAAAACTGAATGTCAAATATGGAACACAACAACCTTCTCCGTTTCCCACCAAACTTACTCTCCCATGGCGACTTCTTTCGCACCATTATCCATTTCAGTTGGTGGATCTCATCTCAAGTCCTCTGAACTGTTTTCAGCAAAGCGTAATTCATCTCTGGCTGGACCTAAGCTTCTTGTTCAAAGGAAATCAAACATTGTAAACAAAAGGAGCCTCACTTCACCCGTTCGTGCCAAATACCGTGATAACAGAGGAAGTGGAGGTGGGGAATTGGTTGCTAGCTTTCTTCTGGGTGGTGCTATTTTTGGAACCCTGGCTTTTGTTTTTTCTCCCCATATCCGAAGAACTATGCTAAATGAAGATGAACATGGGTTTCGGAGGGCCAGAAGACCAATATATTATGACGATAGGGAACTTAAAGCCAAGGAAATTTAGAAGAGAAATAGGGAATTTAGGGAGTTGGAGCAGAAGCGTTTGAGAAGGAGGTTGTGTTGTTGGTGTTGTACGATGAAAAGAGCAGAGAGCAAGAGGTTAAGAGATGCAGTTTGTGGGGAAGTGAGATTTTGCTTGACTATTTTTTACCGTAAAACATAGAGATAAGAGTTTTTCAATTATAATAATTTAATTAGTCTTGTCTTCCCAAGACAGTGCTGCGGCGCCTAATCATATTAGGGTTACAATTTTCTTTTTCCTTGTTCCCTTCATGCTAGCCGGGTCAGTCCATTGGGCTGCTGGCCCAATTCTTACCGTTTTCCCTTTATGTAATAATAAAAGCATGGTAATAATAGAATAGTAATCTAGCTCAATTGGCAAGGCAGTTTACAACAATTTAGGGGGGACACGAGTTCAGGTCCAAGCTAGGACGTTTTTTTCCAATTCTTTTAGCATTATCCCTTCCATGTTCTATCTTGTTATTATATGTTTATAATTATTATAAAATACAGTAAAAAACATGTTTATTTAATCTTTGTTGTTTATTTAATTATTTCATTACATGTTATTATTTAATTTTTTGTTGTTATTGATAATTATTCAAAACATGCTTTTATTTAATTCTTGTTGTTTATTTAATTATTCAAAAAACATGCCTTTATTTAATTTTTTTTGTTTATTTAATTATTCAAAAATATGTTTTTATTTAATCTTTGTTATTCAACTACATGTTTATTTAATCTTCGCTTTTAATTTAATTATTTTATTACATGTTTTCATTTAATTTTTTGCTATTATTGATAATTATTCAAAACATGCTTTCATTTAATTCTTGTTGTTTATTTAATTGTTCAAAAAATGCATGCTAGCATAAATTAGTCTTCTACCTTCGTTATTTATTTAATTATTCAATTGTCGCTCTAGTTAACTTTATTCTCGATCATTTAATCTTTATATCTTTCGACCATCTCAAATCCAAGGGAAATGTTTTCACCTTGTTGACCTTATGTCATCAAATATACGATTGTGTGAATACCCTCATTCATTTTTGCTTTACTCTTTTTCCAAACTTAAGTTAATTTTCCTAAAAAAACTCAATTTTAAAACTCACACCTTTTAAGCCAAAAACTTCGACACTAGGTCGTCGTATCTTCAAAATCTCGTCCACACCCATTTTTTTAGCCAAACAAACCATTTCAATCAAACAAACAATTTTAAAAACAGATATTTCAAAAGGTTCCTATAGGATACTATAGATGCATTGGGTGCTAACACCTTCCCATTGCATAACTAACCCCCGAACTCTAGATCTCTTTTCAAAAACGCATTGTATTTTTATTACTTTTAAGTACTATTTTACATTGCATATTTAAGGGTTTTATTTCTCTCTTTTCCCTTTTCCCTTGGAAATAATAAAGCGCGGTGGCGACTCTTGCTTTTGTGAGATGAGTTAATTAATAGCTCGATCTCCGATTTACCCCGCTACATTTTTTATCGCTACAAATTCTATCTTCCAGTATTCAAACTTATCTCTATCAAATATTGGAGGTTTCATATTGTAGTTATCTCTTTCAACAATCTGTGCAGCAGGTAGATAAATTTCAGCCATAGTGTTTCTAAAAACTCTGGATCTTTATCTGACACAGTGAAGTGTTTGATAACAATCAATACTATAACTGGAGCTCTAAATACCAATTGAAGGTGCGAGAAACACAAGAAAGGGGGGGTTTGAATTCGGTTTCTAGAAAAAAAATCTTTTCGAAACCAAACACTTAAAGTTAATTCAAGAACAAAAATAAATGAACACAATTATTTTTATCCTGGTTCATTGTTAACTAGGTTAATCCACTCCACCCACCAAGGTGATTTGCCTTTCTCAACAAGGACTTAATCCACTATAACCAAACTAATTACAGACACAAACAAAGACTAACAGTCAATGTTTATAACCACAAGGACTACCTGTCAATGTCTTCTTGAGAATTCTGACTAAAACCCTAGTCTCTCAAGGAACAATCAACTCACTGTTGAATTACAAGTTTATGTGTTTACATAATTTCTTCCTGGAAGAAGATTACACGGAAATGAAGTAAATATAATAACGCAACAGTGTTAGAAGAAAATTATCTAACAACAGTTACTTTCTTCCAAGTTTATGAACAAAAGTTCCTTGCTTTACAAAACTTTACAAAAGATTTACAATGTTAGCAATGTTTTAGCAAACTGAATCAGCGTAAATTTGTATTTTTACAATTCATCCAACTCTTCATTTTATAGCCAAAAAGAAATTTGTTAGAGGGTAAAATAAGAATAATAGATTTTCAGTTTTCTTCTTGCATAACAATCCATGTGAGTGGTAGGCAACATTGTAACAATCGTACAATCCTTTCGCCATAAAACTGAGTAGTGGCGGGAGGATATCTTGTATTATTTCTCATATAAAACTTTTGATCTTCTCTTCTAATCATCAGAGGCTTCAGATTATGTGTTGTACCCCAAAATTTTCCCTCTCATTTACCAAGAATTTGCTCACAAGATCTCCTTGACTCAAAACTGCATTAGGGTTTGGTCAGCTCAAGACACCTCCTTATGCACTGATGACCAAAATTAGGGTTTGCGTTTTCACAAGGACATTTGAACTTTCAATGCCTCATATGACTTCCATGGCTCATTATGGGCCCCCAAGATTACTCATGCCAAGTTTAAAGCCTTGGATCACATTTTTGCACAGTCAATTGAACAATTGACCTAAAATCAGTTGTATTGGGGAAAAAGTAAACCATGTCAAACCTCATAATTTTTTAACCACGTCAACATTTTAAACCCATATGTATCATTTGATCGAGTTTGGACCACAATTCCTCAAGAGATTTGATCAAATCCCCAAAAGGGCAAAATGGTCAAAATTAGGGTTTTAATTGGGAAATGGCAATTTCTGATTTTTAACCTAGAAAATGGTAAATTGGTTTAAAGCATGATCTCAAGAGTCCATTTGCATCATTTTTACCTAATGATATGGTTCAAAACATTTCAAGTCCATTGGATTGAAAGATGAATTTTGCAGTCAACTGATCAAAAGTCAACTGTATACTGAAAAGTCAAACTTTGACTTTTTAGTCAAATTCAAGTGCCAAAGATCATAATTCATCAAAACATGTCAAAATATGATACTTATTCATCAAGAACTCAAAGAGTCAAGATTTCATTTTGAAAAGTCAAAATTTCTAAACTTAGAAATTTTTCTAAGTGTTGAAAATTTATGTTTTTTCATAACTTTGAGCCAAATTTTCATCATGATGCAAGATGATTCAAGAGAAACTTCCAACATAAAAGTTGTAGATATCCATGAAATATACAACTTTGATTCACACAACTTCTTCCAAAAGTGCTTGGATCTCAAGTTATAATTTCAAGAACATAGGATCATGAAACTAAACACTTAGTGGAATTTTGTCCTAATTTGGTCAGGATTTTGACCCAACTTCATGGCACTTTTCATATAGTTCTAAGTGGAATCTTCAAAATAAATTCAAATATGGGTTGTAGAGCACATTTCAATCTTTCCAAAATGTCAAAGAACTCTTTGATATCATTCTTCAGTAGGGAGAATCGAAGAGATAAAGTTGGTGTTTTGTCACTTGAATTACAAGGCATTTTGTGATGAACAAAAATTCAATTTCAAACCTATGCTGCAAAATCCTGTTTTGCAGGCTTCTAAACCTCAAGATCTCTCCATAATCATAAGATTACACTTGCTTTTTAGCTATTATCCAAGTGTTCCAAGCATTGTCCAATCCAATTTTCCATTTTTGGAAGAAAGTTACCATTCCATTCTTGAAAAGTTGCTTTAATCACAAAGTCAACTTGTCTTGAGCTTCTAACTTGTTCTTTCTGCACACACAACCCCTATAATCCAAAAGAAAGATGTCTAAGGCCTGAAGAAGCTCATGACATGGTTGTACAACATTTGAGATTTTTTATTTGACTTTTCTTCAAAAGTAAGTTATAGAGCCATAACCCTATAAATCAGAAGCCTGGAATGATTTTGTGCTGAGATCTTTTCCATACATATTAACAAGTCAATTGAAACACACACACGATTTCTAACATCATAAAACTCTCCCAAACACCCTTGCTTCACAAGACTGCTCAACTTGACAGTTTTGAGCAAAATCTCTCTATCTCCATTTCCACTCGTGCGTTTTGATTTTTAATCATTCAAACACCTTACATACATCATACACAAGTGATCTAAGCCCCTGTTTCAAGACTGTAACCCCTCCATCACTATTCACCATTTTCAAACATCAAGCTTGCAGGTTGACTTGAGTATGGAGATTCAGGAACTTTCAAAGCAAAGTAGGAGTTGGAATACACTCAAGGAGGTCCAGGCAAGCTAAACAGATTCTTAGGGCACCTCAAAGCTTGCTCAAACTCCATACACGAATCCCTCTGCAAGGGCTAAGTTTTCTAACTTCAATATCTTTATACAATCATCCTATGTGCATACATTCTGAAGTAAAAATGTAGATATCATTGCTCTAAAGCTAACCATGTCCATTGTTTTCATTTATATTGATAGTGTGTAGAGAATTTTAGATTTAAACTTTCTGAAAAAATTAGTATTAAATTTAGGGCCAACAAAATTAATCTCCATCTTTGACTTTTAGCTTACATAAGTTATATGGTTGGATTCGTGAGGAAAAATAGCACAACTTTCATGTTTGTATTTTCCATTTTTGTTGAGAAATGAATGAGATACAGGTGGTCCGGCTGGCTGAAGGTTGAAGACGAAGTACAGGTCATGGAGACGTTTTACTTTATGTATTTATTCTTTCATTTAAGTTAACGGATATATAGCCACCCCAGTGGTAAGACAGCGTGCGTTATTGATAGAGGTCATGGGTTCGAACCTCAGCGCTGCCTTTTGGCAATTTTTTTACATTTTTGTCTTTTTTTTTATTCCAGCAAACAAACGCATGGGCCTTCCACTCCTGGGCCAG